ACTCTGAATACAAGAAGGGCTCCACAGCCAGTATCCTCGCCTCTTCAGACAAACTCTAGAATTATATTTGTGCTTTCAAATTAGTACCCATGGTGGCTTTATTAAAAATAAGGAGTAAAAATGTAAATAACAAAACTGAAATCAAATTCACTTATACTATATCCTATTTTTAAAGTTCTCTGTCGAGTCTGGACAGCATTTAAATTGAGTTTTCAAGTGGGAAGGAAGAACGTGAGTTCCAATTTCCATTTATATTTGCATATTTTCTTTCCTATTTACATTTAACTATGCTTTTTGTTTCAATTATTCACTTTCTGTCCCTATATGAGGAGGTAGAACAACAAATGTACACAATAGGACACAGTTATAACTGCTTAAAAAACAATAAGCAAAACAAAACCCTTCCTCTATGACCCACATTCCAGACTTGTATGGACATATTATTTGATTATCTTTAACCAGCAGACCTAGCATTTACTCTTTTTATAATATGTTTTAAGTGAACATAAACAGAAGCAAGCTTCACTTCTATTGAAATACCTCCTTCATTTCTGACTTATTTCAGATAAAACTTAATCTTCATACATTTTAAATTGTAGCTGTCATAATAAATTAAAAAAAAACATTGTCAAAGGCTTTCTTTGAATCTTTAGTTAAAGGTGAATGCAGTAAGATATTAAAACAGACTCTACTGAGAATTACAGAGACCGATATTCAATGTAAGGTTGTTTTCACTGCCAAGAGCGTGGACTATATGTATTGCCATGCAATGCTGTTCCAGGAAATATGTGTATCATCTCAGTTCATCCAGGTATACTCCTGCCTCTCATAGGAAGACTCACACACAGTCAGATAAACCCACAGGGCACATCGTGCAATTCTCAACATCCTCTTCAAAGGACATCTTGTTATCTCCTCTGCGTATCTCATGACTTCCATCAGTTTTCCCAATTAAGAGCATAAAACATTATCCTACTCTGTTATGAGTTTGCTAAAACTCATCAAAGCATCACATTTAGCAGTTTTTAATTAGATACAACCTAAGTGAGAGGTGAAATAGATGAATTCTAAAAAGGCTTTGAGAATCACTCCCTTTACATTGTGGTTAGCTTGTAAATAGAAACTAGATTCTCAACCAGTAGAGTGACTATGACTTGATTTTAAATAAACGTTAAAATTTCTATTAAATAATTATTAACTATTCTATCAAATTGAAATAATAATAACCATCCTGGGGAGATGGAAGAAAAAAGTTCTCCACTGAACTCTAATTACTATAAAGGTCACCATAATTTATCTTCAAGCAACCATAACTGCTTATCTCATTTTTTTCCCATTATTTTTTTACAGGCAAGTAATTAAAGCATGGTAGATAACTCCTCAGTTTCCTGTGTCTAACTTCTAAAAGTAAAAACTATGTGATTCAAGTACTGCAACATGTTAAATTTATAGTTACTATTTAAAGTAATACAGTTACACTATTAAAACCTGGTTTCTTCCTCCATTGGTGGACTATTACAGTTATTCGTTCTTGGATAAACCTTGTTAATTGTGTGCCAGTGTCTAACAGAGAACTCAGCTTTGGGCTTCTATTAAACTTATTCTAATCTCACTCTAAGCTTAGCTCGGTTCCATAAAAAATCCATGTGTATATTTATATTTTTCCACTCTACGGTAAACGTATCAGTGTGGAGAGATAAGCATTCACCCAGTCACGTGCTTATTTAATGCACACTCAAAGGATGTAATAAAATTTCCCTCTGCCTGTCGGCACCTCTGCATCGAGCCCTCGCTCGATTTTCCCTAGGCCAAAATGCAGTCGCTTCAACTTATCCGCCAATTCCATGTGTTTGGAATATTTCACAGGCAATTAAAGCCACAGAAAAATCTATAGCTATGCTCTCCTAGTCGGAGCTGCACCTTGCCAGGATTTTGCACAGGCACCTCCGTACCCTCTGGGTTTCTCTGCTCTGTAGTGGACGGCGCTTTCATTTCCAGTCACGGATTCTGGTTACCAACCAAGCTGGCAAATGAAAAATAACTCAGCCGGGGACATTTCACCCACCAGTGATCTCTGTCTGCAGCTAATTCCTCCCTGAGGTTTCTTTCTCTCCACTAGCAAGTTCTTAAAGGCCTAACGCAGGGCTGAGGCCTGGCGTCACTTGTCTGAGGTTTCAATTAAGATGTGGAAATATCAAAGAAGAAACAAGCAGGCTCGTCCAACAATGCCTCGCATTTCTGTCTCAGTTCGAATTCAGAGATGGCAAGATACTAGGTGTGTGTGTGTGGGGAGTGATTCATTAATCCTCTCGCAACAGACCCAGGAACTTTAAAGAAAAGAAGTGATGCCAGCAACAAGATGAGGTTGAATGGTCCCTCTGTTGCTTGTATACGTTGGGAGCTGACTGTGAAATCTGTGTGGACGGACTGAACCTTAGGGCTAACCTCATGGTGCAAATGTGGGGATCAAAGGCACTCTGTCAGTATCTGATTAAGAGCCATGTAAGAGCACTGAAGACATTTCCTTCTGCTTAACAACTCTGATTACAGGGGCTCCCGGAGTGAGTGTTCCTGTAAGCAGTCAACCAGGTCCCTGGGCTCCAGCTGGAGCTATAGGGTTTCCCAATGGCAGAGCTTCCTGTAGCTGAAGGCTTCAATTCATTCACAGCTTGTAAATCAGTAGCCTGTAAATCAACAGATTGAGCTACTACTACTTAAAACACAGTTTCCTCAACCAGCTTCCTTCTGGGTTTGTTTTCATAGATCAAGGGCATGGGAAAAAAGTGTCCAAATTTTAACACCTGGTCCTTGGGGGCTCAGCAGGAGATGCATGTTACACAAGCTTCAAGGTTTTGTTGGTGTTTCAGTGGAGCAAGGCCTTAGTGGCTGAAGTCAAGATAGCATTTATGTAGAGAAGTGACAGGAGCCTATCTGGGAAATAGAAATTACTGATGCTGCATGGATTTCAGCAACTTCAAATGTCTACTCGGAAATGTGTGAAGCTGAAATGAATTCGAGTTAAGGCCTTCCTATTGGTTTTGTTTTCCAAAATGAAGCATGTATAAATAACATCAGAAATTAGCCTAACATGTTTAATACAAGTATTTTGAAAACTTTGTGCTGTAATGTCTGCCAAACTTGAACAGAGACAGGAAATTGGTTAATTGCAAGAAATATCTGTTGGGAATGATCAATTATACAGAATAAAGCATCAACAAAAAATTCATGACTGAAAATGTGTCAAATGTCAGAATTCATCCTTTCATCTATCATCATGGAACACTTTGGATAACAATAACCAATTATATATAGTCTTACAGTAAAATAATTAGTTTCAATCATTATTCTTTAAATTTAATGTTGTGTCCAAAATCAATATCTGATGTTAATACTAAATATCAAAGAAAATTATTTACATTTTACGCTGATCCTAAACTAAATATAAAAAAAGAATCCAACAGAAACTTAATCTATGTTCCTTTTCAGAAACTGGGAATGGTGGAATATCAATTACGTGTATATCATTGTCCTTAGGTTCTCAGAAAAGAAGGGATGGAAATTTTGCAAATAATTCCTAAACTTACGTTTACCTTTAAACCAACTTCGATTACAAGACTGATGATGCTCTTAGAAAAAAATGTCTGGAGCTAAAAATCCCACTTTGAGATAGGGAGAATGAAGGAAACCGGGCTCTGTCTTTGGAAAGGAAGGATAAGAGCGCTACTAAGGTGACCGTATGCCACTAATTCGCAGCATTGTTCTGAAGGCACTTGGTTTAGCTGCCTGGACAGAAGCACATGGTTCTCTACGGAAATGCCCAGGGATCAGAGAAAGAGGCACAGTCGCTGAGAGGGCATGTTTTACTTGCAGGTAAAAATGTGTTAGCATGAACAGTTTGAAATGCAAAAGAACTGAATGGGCTTAGTGGCGACGAGGCAGGGAATAATGAATCTCTCCCAGACAGTTAGAGAAAAGGAAACCCAGATTTGGAAAATGCTCTTCCCTAGTGATAGAAGAACAAGACTGCCGAGAGCAGCTGGAGACTCCTATCCTAATGGAGGGGAAGCTGTAACGAGGATCAGGGGACGTTAGGTAGGCAGCATGGAAGCTGAGCCCTCACAGCGTCTTACTGCTGAAGTTAGCAGACAATAGCCACACATTTCCATGAAAGTCGCCTAAGAGAAGCAGTTTTGTTTTCTCTCCTTTGTCTGGGATACTAACCTTTTAGCTGTCTTCCTAGGCCTCAAGTCCTCCTTATATCGCTACTTGTTGAAATAAGAGCGGCAGCGGGGCTGCATCCCCAACACCCCGGCCGCTTGGCTAGCTCATGCCCGAAATAACAACACACAAACTGTATTCATTTAAAGAACTGCTTGGCCCATGAACTCTAGCCCTTACAGGCTAATTCTCGCACCTGGACTAGCCCATTTCTAATGATGTATGTAAGCACCCCAAGGTGCGCTTAACCAGGAAGATTCTAACCTACGTCCATCCTGGGGAGCTTCATGCCTCTGCCTCAGAGCGCAGAGCTATCGTGTCTATCCAGCAGAGCTGAGCATGGCGTCTCTTCGGGAGCAGAGCAGAGTCTGACCTCACTTCCTCTTCCGCCCAGAATTCTATTCTGTTTACTCCTCCCATCTATGTTCCAAGCCATGAGGCCAAGCAGCTGGTTTATTATAACTTAACCAATGAAATCAACAGATTGATATATGACACTCCCACATCACTTCCCCTTTTTCTGTTTAAAAAAAAAAAAAAAAAAAAAGAAGGCTTTAACTTAACATCCAAAGCTCTAGAAATGACAGAGACATCTCGCTGCCTGGACAGTCACCCAAAGTTCCTCTGTACCGTTGGGGCATCCATCTTCGGCCTACAGGCCCATAGTTTCCAGCAGACATTTCCACAAAGCAGGAAATTTCAAAGGCAGTCACTATCTGCTTGTCCTGAAGAATGTCTTGCAGACTCTTTCATGAATCAGGAACCCCGAAAGATCATCTCACCTTTAGGCAAGTTCAGCAGTCCTCTCTCTGCGGGTTCTCTGTGTCCAGTTTATGCAATAGTCCAGGCAAGAGCAGTTTCTTGCCCAAATGGCTATCAAACTCCATAAGGATCCTCTTCGATGCCCATCTTCCTCTTGAAGTAGATTGGTGCTGCCAGGAGCAGAGTGTCTCATTGTCATGAAAAGTCCTAAGTTATTAAAACATTTAAAATGCCATATTCTATAATCTTTGAAAAATATGAAGAATGCCTATCTAAAATATATCTATGCACATCTAGAAAATCTTAACTAACATGACTACAAACTTAACTATTATTAATGATTATTCATTAACAACCTATATACATTACAAAATTAACCTTAAATTTAAATCACTAAAGCAAAATCCATATCAATGTAAATTATTCATACCTATATCATCTCCCCCTTTAAATGTAAAAGAACATTTATAAACCATATTTGGGAACATGGGCGCAGTTTTTTCTCTCCAAACTGCTTCCTGCTGAATGGGGGCGTCGTTAATTAGGTCTTTCATGGTATAACCTGTGTGCTAGTTTCATCTCAGTTGGCAGTTGAGCGAAGCAATTTTCTGAAGGTATTCACAGCAACCGTTCAGGAGGGCGTGGTCCATCATACCATATCGGAATAGAAGAAATGAACAGGGTCTCATCCTCTGTGAAAACAAAAAAAGAAACTCCTTTCCAAAGTATCATGTCCTTAGATCCAAATTTCAAAGTCAAGGCATCAAAATCTCTACGTTGGATTAGTTCAGCAGCATTTATAAACAAATATCTTTTGGCAGCTGTTGCTCCTTCCTCAGCATTCAAACAATTCAAAGAGAGCATAATAGTATACAGTATCAAGATTCTCTGTGTATTTTCCATCTTTGTACGCTTTATTTTAACCTCTATTTCGTTTATTTTTAATTTTATATTCTCTGTATCTCTTTGACCTGGAATAACTCTGTAGACCAGGCTCTCCTTGAACTCTCAGAGATCCGCCTGTCTCTGCCTCCCAGGCATTGGGATTAAAGGTGTTTGCTACTACACCTTGAACTCACAGAGATCTGTTTGTCTCTGCCTTCTAGGCACTGGGATTAAAGGCGTGTGCTACCACACCTTGAAGTCACAGAGGTCAATCTCCCCCTGCCTCCCAAGTGTTGGGATTAAAGGCGTGTACTACCACACACAACTTCTCTTTTTCTTTTTTTTTTTTAAGAACTTTTAACTTTTAGCTTGCATATATTTTTAACACACTGTAAATCATTTAAACATTTTCTTTGTCTTTGAATCTCTTTACTGTATATCTCTCTTTTTCTGACCACACGAGCCTTTAAATTACTGAGCAATATGAGTAGGATTAAAGCCGTGGCTTTGCCAGCTAGATCCAGTCCATTCCTTAGCTTTCCGGCCTCATGGCTGAGGTACCGGTTGTAGCCACGTTTACTGCCACAACTCTATGGCATTTCAAGGTCCCTGCCAGCAAGCGAGCTTCAGCAGCCTGTGCTTGCAAACCACACGAACCGCCTGCGTAAAAGAGTCAGAGTTTGCCGTGGCAGGACAGCCCAGAAAGCCGGCATTTTTGAACAGCGCAGCTTTTTTCCTGCTACGGCTGAAAACCGAAAAGCATGCGTTCAGCTTTTCACCAACACCATTTAAGTGTTTTGTGGCAGGACCTCTTAATGAGCTGCAGGGTTTTGCAGCTGAAGCTGAGTCAGGAAGCCTCTCTTAGATGAGAGTGCTTGCTTGCTTCTAACAAGCAGAGGAGACCCGAGAAACTGCTGCTACCAAGAAAACATGCTTTACTCTTTCCCAAGCTTTCTCAGGCTTTTTGTAGATTCAGTTAGCCACACGTCTGGGCGCCATCTGTTGAAATAAGAGCGGCGGCGGGGCTGCATCCCCAACACCCCGGCCGCTTGGCTAGCTCATGCCCAAAATAACAACACACAAACTGTATTCATTTAAAGAACTGCTTGGACCATGAACTCTAGCCCTTACAGGCTAATTCTCGCACCTGGACTAGCCCATTTCTAATGATGTATGTAAGCACCCCAAGGTGTGCTTAACCGGGAAGATTCTAACCTACGTCCATCCTGGGGAGCTTCATGCCTCTGCCTCAGAGCGCAGAGCTATCGTGTCTATCCAGTAGAGCTGAGCATGGCGTCTCTTCGGGAGCAGAGCAGAGTCTGACCTCACTTCCTCTTCCACCCAGAATTCTATTCTTTTTACTCCTCCCATCTATGTTCCAAGCCATGAGGCCAAGCAGCTGGTTTATTATAACTTAACCAATGAAATCAACAGATTGATATATGACACTCCCACATCAGCTACCTCTCCTTCCAACCTTCCTTCTTAGTGTCTTTATTGGAACACTCCTATTCTTCCCCGAAATAAGTTGAATTTTCACAATTATCATTGTCATTTACTGTTCAATCTATATGCATCTCTTAAAAGAAATATACATTTCCTCCTAATTGAGGAAAAGATTTACTGATGAAAACATATGTATCACTGCTTCTTTATTGCTACTTTCCTTACTAATGCTCCAAACATACAGCATTTAAGTTAGCTCATCATCTATTCTTGGTCACTATAGATGTTTCAAAGCTCTTTTCTTACTGTCTGTCAAAAAAGCTCACTTCATGATTCTTTTGTATCTGTCTGTATCTGTGGTTTCGCTGGCTCACTCTATCCATCATATCACGAATCCTGCCAATAAACTGCCATTCCTTTAGTCTTTATTGTCATAATGCATGTTTTAAGTACCATATTTGTCTAAATACTAAACCTGAAAATAAGCCATCAAAAAGATAGAATACCTCGGGTTTCTCACAAGGCCTCCGCGGACAGTCCTTGAGCGCTTTTACCATACAAGCTCTTAACTGATTTCAAGAAGAAAAATAAATTTTAAAAAGGAGTAATAATAGACTATTCTAAGGAACATACCCCCAGTAACCTGGTCCAGCTCTATTTTGGTTGAGACACAGTTAGGTAGTTTAATCAAAGTTATAACAGAGGTGCTGGTAAATGTCTGTCTTGAAAAAAAAAAAACTAAATAGAAAATGGTAAAAGAACTATAGACAACCTTTTTGGGCTTTAGTGATTCACATTAAACTAGTCATTGGAACAGTTTGCCCTGGTGATCCAAAACTAAATGTCTAAAGATAAATCTTTCTCTCTCATCACCTCTGCTGGAAATCTAAGAGTGCCGAACAAAATGTCTGTGTGTATGATGAGTATCTGGCTAAAGTTCGAGACACCACTTGAATTAAGAGAAATGTAAGAATGATAAAAAAAGTTACTTTATATTTGGAAAATAATCATATCTCTGCAAAGTAACATTTCTTACCATCTTTACCCTTCTCTTAATTCAAGATTTGAGAAGGAGGTTTTACACCGAAGAGCTCAAAGTGATCTAAAATCTCCAGGAAGGAAAGAGTGCCTGGATGGGCAACACACCTGCATTGTAAAGATCCCCTCATTTCAGAAATATCCAAGGGAATAGCCAATTTAGTTACCATGCTTTCCTTAAACCACACTAAAACGTGTTCCTTAGAGTCACTTTTTTTTTCAAGCTATATGTTTGTCTACATGGTAATCTAGAATGGCATTGTTGGTGCAGTCTGGTGATGGAAAAGAATGCTACAGGGTGATCTTCCCCGGAACGACTTTGACAGCAGAGTGAAATCCAGAGATGAACTGTGTAGCACATCTGCGTAGACCTCTCTACCAGGTAATCTTGGTTTGTAGGCAATGGGAATGAGACACAGAACTATAAGGCGTGCATAAGAGGATTCCACACCTGGGAAAATACGATCAGACTCCTTGTTTGCCAATTTACAGCAGAGGAGCTTAACCAAGAACAGAGAAAAATAAGACGGCTGTCACACCTGGGTTCCATTATCTGACTTTACATGTTTAATTTTAGCTCCTGTTGCATTTTTTTCCTGTTTGCCTTCACTAATGAAATAATTACACCTACAACTTCCTTGAAAACCATAAATACTTTATCCTTTAAACTCAAAGTAGTTGCCCAACTGATTATACTCAAAATATCAGGGTAATTTAATGGAAAATCTGTGAATTTCTTTACTTCTGATTTAATCACAGAAAAATCCCATTGTTACCACCTCTGTCCCTTAATGTATTAAAGAACACTCTTCACAGTCAAAGAAATACAAAAAAACAATTATTGGTACATGATCCTTACCAGGACATTGCCACGTTATTATATCCTTCATCATTGCATCTTACACTTTGTAATTTAGTTTGTGGATGCTTGTTTCTATGTATATTGATGGATGTGCATATGTGCAAGCATGTGGGAGGTACGGATGTTTGTAGGGGCACGTACATATGGAAGCCAGAAGTTGACCTCCAGTACATTCCTAATCACTCTTTGCCTTATTGTTTTGAGACAGGGTCTGTTATTGAACCTGAATCTGGTTGATAGAGCTAGTCTGGCTGTCAGCAAACCCCAGGGATCTTTCTGGGTTTTTATCACCATCTCTGGGATTGTAGTCAGACACTGTCACAAGTGGCTATCATGCCAGTGCTGACCATTGAAGTCAGGGCCTCATACATCTGCAGAAAGCACCTTACCAATACACATGTCATACCACACCCATCAAAGTTATCAATTTTTGGAAAATATATTTATCTCTTTTCTTACATACAGAGAAAATATAGTCAAACTTCAGTTGAAATAAGGTTCTATTCATCACTAATTTAAAACTACAAACAGATACATTTTTGCCAATCTTATAATAATGTGGGTAATAAAAAAGTTACTTTAATATTGTCAGAGTAGATACATGTCACCAAAATGGCAGCTATGGCTGAAAACATTCACATATAACAAGTCAACATTGTTAAAATCTTCCTTAATTTTCACTGAAAGTAAAACAATAAAAATGTTACTTTCCTTTTTTTCTGTATTCACACATATTTAGATAAGTAAAGTGTCCATCTGTAAATATATTTCCAAAAATTTGCTGTCTTCTTATTTTGTTCATAACATCTATATAGAAATGATTTTAATTTAATTTAATTCATTGTTTTACATTATTTATCATCTATCATCAAGGGATTTTAAAATATTTTAAAATTATTTGAATTTAATGTAATTATTTTATTTTCCTCTTTTCTTCCCTCTCTCTAGTTCTCCCACCTACGCACCTTTACTTTATTTCAAATACATACCCTCTTTCTCTTAAATTACTGTTACATGTGTTTATGTGTGTATGTTCTGAAATATATAAAGGCAACCTAGTCAATTCATACAACATTACTTACATGTATATGATTCGCAGCTGAAGATTTGGTTTTGGGCTGCCGTTTGGTGTGCTCTTTCCTGAGGAAGAATCTTTCCCCTCTTCTCAGCATTCACTAGCTGCCTGCAGTTCTTTGTCTTGGGTTGTGCTCTTGTGAACATTTTCCCCTTCCACATTAAGCATACATATTGGTGTTATGCTTTTGTGATTATAAAAGTCTATGACACATTCTAGTTACACAACAGCATTCTATGATATATTTTCACTGCATTCGGATCCAATTAAAATCAGCACTTAACATTTTCCTTGAGAATATTCTGATATGAGAATTCAAATATTAGTGTAAACATTTCACACATGGCATTGTCTAAATATCATTGATGAATCCTTTCCTAGTAGGAATACACATATCTTCACCATGCAAAATATTCCCATACATATATTTTCCTAAGTTGATGCCCTCAGGTATGTATGGTATTTATCACAGCATTTAAAATATCTTCCAGTTCTTTGCATTAATGTTGTACATTTGCTATTGTTTTTCACATTTGATTATGATTATATATGTGACCTGTGGAATTGGCTTTGACTGAAAATAAACTTGATTACAAATTTGTTGGAATTAGAGTTGTATAATATATAGCAGCAAATTTCATGTAGCCTTTAGCACAAAACATATAGGAAATCTGGGACTCCATAAATAGACCGAATCTAAGAATAATAAGAATAGAAGAGGAAGAACTCCAACTCAACATAAAATAGATTGGACCAAAAACCAAATCCCCCTTACAATATAATAATCGAAACACAGAACATACAGAATAAAGAATGAATATTAAGAGCTTCAAAGGAAAAAGAAGAAGTAACATATGAAATCAGACATATCAGAATTATACCTGACTTCTCAATGAAAACCATGAAAGCCAGAAGGTCCTGGGCAGATGTGCTTCAGACACTAAGAGACCCCTGAAGCATGCCCACACTACTATACCCAGCAAAGCTTTCAATCACCATTAATAAAGAAAACAGGATAGTCCATCACAAAACCAAATTTAAACAATACCTATTCACAAACTCAGCCTTTCATAAAGTACTAAAAGGAAAATTCCAACCCAAGAAAACTAACTGCACCCCCCAAAAAAAACCCTCAGGCAACAGATAGCCTCACAATAGCAAACCCCAAAGAACGGAAGCACACAAACACTACCTCCAAAAAGTAACCGGAATTAACAATCACTGGTCGTTAATATCTCTTAATATCATTTGACTTAATTCACCTATAAGAAAACAGAGGCTAACAGAATGCATATGAAAACAGTATCCATCTTTTTGCTATATACAAGAAATACACCTCAATCTCAAATACAAACATTATCTCAGAGTAGAAAGATGGGAAAAGATTTTCCAATAAAATGACACAAGAAACAAGTGGGTATAGTTATTTTAATATCTAACAAAATAGACTTCAAACTAAAATAAATCAGAAAAGATAGAGAAGGACACTTTATACTCATCACAGGAAAAATCCATCATGATGAAGTCTCTATCCTGAGCACTTATGCCCCAAATACAAGAGCACCCACATATTAAAAGAAACATTAATTACTAAAGCTTAAATCACATATCAAACCCCACACAGTAATAGTAGAAGACTTCAGCACCCCACTCTCCACAGCGGACAGGTCAACCAGAGAGAAACTTAACAAAGAA